CACGAGGTCCAAGCTGGAGGGAAGAAAGTGTAGAGAGAGATGGAGAGATGTCCAGGAATAACACAGCAGGGGAAAATCCCTGGATGCTTGAAGCAAATGGGTGAATACAGATAGTGGAAGAAGGTGAGCGAAAAAGTAGAAGGATGGAACTCCTGGTCAGAGTGGGGAAAGGAAGGTTGAGTGGAAGTAGTTCTCCATGGCGACACGGAGCAGAACAGGGTTCTGACTGTAGAAAACTGGTTGAAATGGGAGTAAAAGCCAAACTGCAGCAGAGAAGTGATGTCCAGAAACTGTGAGGCTCAAGCAGCAGGAGTTGAACACATGTACATTGGGTTTGAGGGGGAGGTCTTGAGCCAGGGGCCACAGCTGAGACAGCCTTAGGGTCTTTCCCCCGGGAAGTCTATCCTTACACGTATGCCTTCTACTGTCCCTGTGTACTGGCAGACCTCCTTGATGAGCTTATTAACAGTAAAATAGGCTTCAAGTTTAATATCATCAGACAGAGTTGATTGACGTTACAGTAGTTTTGTATATAAATATGGAGACACTCAGCTCTACACGAGCAAACTGCTTTGACTGTTCTGACCAGAATCGCTAGGGCTTTTTTTTTTTTTTTTCTACTACTCAAACCAGTTCTTTGATAAACAGATTTATTGGTTTGTTTGTTTTGTTTTATAATTTTAATTTCCTTGCCCAGGAGTACCACTCAATACAGGCAAACAGGTTTCCTAAGAGTCCTACTAGCTTGGACCATACTCAGACGTGAATATTCTCTGGAATTTAAAATGGGGTGCTGTGTAGACCTTCCTCATCTTTCATGACCTCAAAACCATGATTTCCTGATGAATGCCCTCAACACACGTTTTACAATTCATCTCAGAAATAGGAAGTTTGCTCCCAGGACCTGCTTTGTTTCTCTAAGCCCGTTTACGGCAGTGAGCTGTATCTTCTCCGCCCCTATGCTTTCCATGACACTCCTAGACCTGAAATAAAAGAGGGAATCTGCAGAGGGAGGTCTATGGGGATATGAGCGTTCACTGAGCTAAATGTAAACATTCTAGATGTACGGAAATACATCAAAAAGTATATATATGTGCATGTGTGTTTGTGTATATCTATGTATCTGTGTATATATGCATCCTTAATCTTTGTAAATTAAAACCATGCATTAAGTCCCTGGACTCAAGTACAGCTCACGGTAATTACTAAATGACTTTTGGGTTGTGTGTGTACCCCCTTGTCCCTACCTCCTGGGCACCTGATTTTCATCATTCATCAGCAGTCCTTCTCTGAGCCTCAGTAATCTCAAAGCTTTGAAGTGCAAGAACAGAGAAGCACGCTTCTGCCTACCTCTGGTTTTCGGCACCAGAAATTCTGTGTCTAACACCTGTTTTCAATCTTATGCTCCATTTCTCAATCTTATTATATCTCTGCCTTTTCACACTTTGTAGTCTCTCTCTAATATTTGTTTGCAAAACACTAACTCATTTGTATTTCTATAATTACTGTGATTTTTTGTCTTCTCATCTGTATTGGTTCCTTCCTTCTGGCGGTCTCTCTCTAAATACTGTTCTTCTACACAATGGCGCAGCATATGAGACGATCTCTTATTTTAGGAGTGACCAGGCAGTTTTCCTGATAGTCAGGATATAATTATGTTTCTAGAGCCAGAACATTCTCTTTCTCATGAGATAACTAGTCTCCAGATTCTTGACTTAATGAGTTCTAAGGGTTCCCATTTTGAAATGAGTATCTTTCCATACTACTGCACAATTCAGTGGCTTTGTGCTTCAGGATATGACACAGGCCTCTTACAGGAATCTGTTTACACAAATGTGCCTCTGTAGTAATAAGATATCTCTTTTTCTCAGACAAGGAAAAGAGACAAAAATGCTCAGAAAAGGCACAGGGGAAAGTGTACCCTAAAATTTCCTGTAAGGTGATACTCCTTTTCAGTTGCGGATCAAGGTTTGTCACACTATGTTTCAGCACTGTGCATGCATCTGACAAATCTTTCTCTCTTTTCATAAACGATCGTATAACTGCCTTAAATAATTCCCTTAAAGAGAGTTCGTTCCACAAGTAACTTCAGATCAGGACTTTTGGACATTATACAAATTTTAGAGAGGCAGGTAATGCCCTACCCCTATAGAGGGGTAGGTAGGGATATAGGGAATTCAGAGGTAGGGGATTAAGAGGTATAAGCTATTATGTATGAAATAAGCTCCAAGGATCTATTGTACAACATAGGGAATATAGCCAATATTTTATAATAACTATAAATGGAGTATAACCTTTAAAACTTGTGAATCACTATACTGTACATTTGTAACATATACTATCGTACATCAACTATACTTCAATAAAAAGAAAGAAAGAAATAAGCAAATAATGATGGTGGCACAGCTAGCACTCTATTCTTAGGACACACATGAGGTACGTGTGACGTGAACGCAGATTTCTAGACAAAACACCCAGGTTGGCTCTTTTCTGGCATTCCTTTGGCCTGCAAACATAAGATCTAATCTTTAAGTATAATTTCTTTTAAAATGTATGTTCTCAGAGGGCAAGGCTTTGTGCTCGAGGTTTTTGATGCAGTGGCCCCCATTTTGCTTGCTGTAGTAGTTATTAAATATGACTCATGCACTAGAATGCCGAGAAATGCTACCGAAACAAAAAAGATACCTTTCAAATAATTAGTCCGTGGCAGAAGGCGCTACCCATCCATCTAGATCCATTTGGAAATCTAGGGATCGACAAGACAAGACAGAAAATGCCAGAGAACAGCCATGGTCTCCAAGCTGCATCTCCTGCCACCAGAGACCCATGGAAGTCACGGCAGACAATGCCCAGGGTCCAGACCTATACAGATGGTGGCTGTCGGAGGTGACCGACTCACATTACAGATTACAGCACTTAACAAAGCCAAGAGGATTAGATGTTTAGACAATAGGCAGGAAGCCATTCTGTAGTCAACTGACTATAAATTTAAAGGAACAGCTCATTATTTATAGCAATCTTAATGAAATGGAAGGAAGAAAGAGTAAATTTTTATTGGCCAATTTAATCCAATGCTCCCAGACTATTACTAAGTCAAAATTCCCATCGGCTTCAAAAGGACTAGCGCAGAGGGACCGTAACTGACCTTTAAAAATGACTAGCAATCTAAAATATGACACAAATGAACCTATCTACGAAACGGAAACAGACTCACAGACATAGAGAACAGACTTGTGGTTGCCAAGGGGGTGGCGGGTGGGGAAGGGATGGATTGGGAGTTTGGGTTTAGCAGATGCAAACTATTACACAGAGAACGGATAAACAACAAGGTCCTACTGTAGAGCACAGGGAACTATATTCAATACCCTGTGATAAACCATAATGGAAAAGAGTATGAAAAAGAATATATATATGCATAATGGGGTCACTTTGCTGTACAGCAGAAATTAACACAACACTGTAAACCAACTATACTCCAATAATAGTTAGTTAAAAATAACTATCAAGCTCGTCGTATGCCCTTCATTTTCAAACCAACTGATTTTACTCTCAGAATGTTTTACGTGTACAAAGATTCCTTTTGTTTCCCTATTTTAATCACAAACAGTCGTTGATTTTATTTGCTAGGAGAAAAAGGAGAGACAGAGAGAATGAAATCTGAAAAATGGGTCGACTAAGCGAGGCATTTTAGAATGGAGAGCTGGCTACAAATCCAGAATAAAGTTATTTAATAAAATGCTAAAGTGGCCACTTATGCAAACTGGCACATCCTATTGGAAGCTGTCTCTAATGCAGGATTGCCAGGCATCGTCATAAATATCACAAGCTAGGGATTTCTGTGTGCAGGGAATAAGGATCATGTTCCTACTAGGATGCGGTAATATCTTTATCATCACCACACAATATTTATTAAGGGTCTCCCAGGACACGTGCCGCAAGGGAAGACGGTATCTTTATGACAACACAATCGGTTTATGCGTAAAAAGTTTAAAGCACCCTGAAAACTGTAAACGTGAGACCGATGCCATATAATGAGTTAACATTTTTCACAGGGTACGTCTTCTGGAGGATGAGGGCTATGAAGATCGAATTCTGATGGCACATGACATACATACGAAGCATCGGCTGACGAAATACGGAGGTCACGGCTATTCTCATATACTTACCAACATTGTTCCTAAAATGTTGTTTAGAGGTATAACTGAGGCTGCACTTGAAAGATACTGATAGAGAACCCCAAGCAATGGCTAACTTTCAAATAGGACGGTTGTTCTGAATTCATACCTTGAGTATAAAGCTTGCAGGGAACAGACAGGGATTTCAAACCCACTGTGAGATATTAATCAGAGCTACATTGGACTGACAGAGCATTTCCTTTTTAGGAGAATTAGAAGACTTCTGCCTTCTCAGAAACTGGCTATTACATCTGTACCTTTAGGGAGTTACTGAGCCTAATTAAGCCCTATTGTTTTTCCTTAACAAAATAAAGACAAAAGTACCCATATCCAAACAACGATTTACAGTCTACATCCCCTTAGTGGAGTTTTGCTTCCTTTTGTTTTGTTTTCTTAATCTATCACCAGCACTGCATGAGAAAATTTAAAGTGTTTCTAGTTAAATTACCCCTTTCTGGAGCAATCTAATGTTTCCTGTAATATGGATGATTCTACTAATTATCCTGCTGTCCTTTAATTAATGCTTAATGAATAATATGGCACTTCAAGATAGCTTCTGCAGCAAGGGAAGTTAAATTTTGAGACTTTTTTCTCAAAAGATACTGTAATATAATTACCAATTCACAATGGTAAAAATATTGTGGAAGGTTGATTATATGCTGTTCACCTATCTATATATACTGATAATAAATCAGTCTTGTTGCCTGTGGCTTTCTGGTATCCAGTTTTCCTATAAATTTTGTTGTGTTTTGAAAAATTTGTACAAGGGGACATGAACACATAACATAGTACTCAATTAGAAAAATTCAATCATAAAAGTCAAAATATATTACATAATATAGTTTAATGAATCATTACATTTATAGTAACAAAGGCCACAATTTAATTAATAATATAGAATGCAAAAAAAAAAAAGAGAAATGTTTGCCTTATATATATTCTCTTTATTTCCTTTACCTTTTATTTGTCTTTCCGTGGGCCTGAACAGAGAAAATAACGCTTACTTATCTGAAGAAAATGTCAGATCTATTAGAAGTGACAGTCTGATTCTAGAGCCAACTCTTTAAAAGACACCCAGCCCTGATGTTTTGTGTAAATAAAGCCTTTTTAAAACTCTCAGTTGACGTGTTCTGCTGTTTATAAGCTAATCTTTTGGTTGAATCCTTTGCTATGATTTGTTACCTAAAAAAAAATCTCCAAACCCTTACTGCTAATTCCTCTTTGATAAATACATATTGTTAAATGGAAATAAAATCCACTGCAATTCCTTTATGAGTTATCTTACATATTAGAAAGGCCAAATAGAATTAGTCATTATTCTTGATAAATGGGCTTACATGTTTTTAATCATATAAATCATGAGGGTTACTCAGACCAAGGCATTTAAACCAAGCAAACAGCACATTCAGATGGGAACACCAGGCATAACTCTTTTGGAAAGTTGAGGTTGGCTAAATAAAAGATATTTCTGTGGATCAACGATGGTCAAGCTTTCTGTGTATTAGAACAGAAAGTATCCAAGAGGAATGAGCCAAACAGAACAAACTAATTCCTTTAAATGAAAAAAATGCAAATGTCCTTCGCCAGTAAAACAGGCAGATTTTTCAATCTCTGTTTGTGAAATCTACTTCTCAAAGAGTCTTCAAAGGCACCTGAGAGCGGAACAGATTTTTCATTGTAATAGTGGAAGCTGTCTGATAGTTACGACTTATCAACACGCATTTTAAATCTTTTTCTTAGACTAAAGAGATGGCTTTTGGCAGTGTACTTTAACCAGAGAGGAAGGATTTGCACTACTCTCAAAATCTACTTTACTGTCAGCTTCGGTCCACCTGAGAAAAAAGAAAAACATTGCTCATTCAAATGCATATATTTCATAAACACTGCAAAGGAGAGCTACTTCATCTCTGCAGTCCTAACAGTAACAGTCGGCCACAGAACGCAGTGAAAGTATTGATTGGCATATGGTAATAAAGAAGCCACAGACCTAATTTACAGACACATGATTTCCGGGGCATTTTAACCTAATAAAATTTAATTTTCTGGATAACTCTTAGAAGTCATCTAAATTATTTTGCTACTTCATATATTTTTGTCTTCCAAAATATATTTCAATCCAAGACAAGTCAAATAACTCATACACGTTTGTGTGTGTGCCTACACGTACACTTCTTTAAATTAAATTTTTGGGGCTATACAGCCATTGTGCCTACGGTCTGAAGCCATATATATATTTCATCTAACATATATATATGTACACATACATATATATATGTAGCAGGTTATTTGTATAAAATATATACACTTTATTGTCGTATTGGTTATATGTGAAATTGTTCACGTTGAAATAACCTCAGGCCATGACTTGTAGTAACTATTTGAAGGCCTTACTTAGTGTCCCCTTGGTGACGCACGCACCAGCGCAAATTAAACCTATATGCGTTGGGTTACGAATAATCTTTTGTTCCAAAGAAGGCAAAAGCCTCAGTCTGATTTAACACCAAAGAATAAATTTCTCTGACTTTCCAAGTAAACCTAAATGCATTCTATTGACAAACTGGACACAGGGGGATTTTTCTAAATACCATACGTAATTACACATTTACACACTTAGAGGGTAATCCTATGATACAAGTTCAATCTCTACTTTTAAAGACTATCACCCGAAAAGAGAGGAAAGAAGATTCCTAAGAAAAAGAATGTGAAACATGATCACAGGCTTGGGAATTCCCTCAAATCCAGAAAATTCCAGGTTAAGGCTTAAAGTTGAATCATTCCCAGGTCTAGCTCTAAAGTTAACAGGAGTACAAGGCAGACAATTTCTTTGGGGACAAAGCAGCATTATGTCAATGAGACCTCCTCCTGCAGGGTAAAAATCATTCTTCCCCACACTATGAATGGACCCCGAGTATCATAATAAGCAGGTAAACTCACAAGAACCAAAGCTGACATATGGATAAAAGCAGCAAGATCACATTACACCAAAGTATCATATATATGGAAGAAATAATTCAGTGTCTTAGATTTTTCTATAAAAATTTGTGATCTATATAGGACTTCATTCACATCGACACGAACAATAGGAATATTTGCTTTGGCGGTAGTGGATCAACATTTGCTTATCTTGCTTTTAATATTTTTTTTTACATAATGTTTCTGAGTATACAGATGTGAGTCAGGTAGCATTTGAATTCCCCACATACACACAGCTGAGGCGCCCCGCATCCGGCATCCCCTGGGGTCCTCGATTCACTGACGTTAGCCATACGAATCCAGTGTCCAAACTCAGAGTAATAAGCTTAGTTTTTGCATGATCAGTCAGCATAGATAATAAATCCAGAAAATGTGCTGTATTTGTTGTTGTTTCCTCCGTGGGCTTTCCCACCATCTAATTTGATGTAGACTTCGTCTCCTGGCTCCAAATGAAGAACCACACTGTTGCTCGCATAGTCGTAATTCTGATCAGCGTCTTGGGCGATCGCGCTAGCACGCACCTGCGTGAGACAGACAAGAATTAGAATTTGTAAGAGAGAATTCTCAGGCTTTCTTTTTTTTAAAAATATCTTTATTGGAGTATAATTGCTTTACAATGGTGTGTTAGTTTCTGCTTTATAACAAAGTGAATCAGCTATACATATACATATATCCCCATATCTCTTCCCTCTTGCGTCTCCCTCCCTCCCACCCTCCCTATCCCACCCCTCTAGGTGGTCACAAAGCTCAGGCTTTCTTTTCTTTCTTTCTTTCTTTCTTTCTTTTTTTTTGTCATTCACACAGCATCATAAGCAGACTGGCTGCCATGGCACTGAATTTAGCACAGCCAAGTCCACCTTGGCCTTGGGGCTTTATGAGGATATCTTTGTAACAGTTTCAACTATGTTACTGGAAAGGAGAAAATAGTGCTTTCGTGAAGGTGATTCTAACAGTCTTTGTTTTTCTTTTTACTATATGTGGTAAACAATGCACACCACTCTATTCTCTTCCTAAATCATGACTTTTTCTAATTCCTTGTGACTCTGTGCCCAATCACTTCTTGAAATGGCCACTTTTTTGCATTTTAATTAAAGCCAGGCAGCGATATCCTAACCAGCTGTTGGAGGACAGAAGTTCAATCCAAACTTCTGTTGGTCCCCATGATTATTAGAAAATTGAGATCCGCAGTATGTACAGACTCAAAGAAATCCCACTCCTGTAACTCTACTATACAGGAAGAAAAAAAGAAAAATCATTTTGATTTTGGGCTTTCGAAATCTAATTCAAGGAAAAGCCCCTGTACCCAAAGCTTAACTCAATGAAACACCTTTGGTTTAAAAGTCTTCAGAGTTCTTTTTTCTATTTGTGCCTTTTTATCACTTAATTGTGATGTGTGTACGTAAATAAGCTATTTAATTTCAACACATCTAAAAGTTATAGAAGGAACTACATTTCTATAATTTGAAGTCTCTAAAATTTCTAAATGCTTTTGAATGATCTCATTGAATACCCTTTTATATTGAGGTGATTCTAAATGGTTTGCTTTGAGGATGGAGGTTTGCTTCTAATCCACTCAGGTTGAGCCTGTGATCTCATTAGTGAGCTGACAGACATTTGCACACAGTCCAATTGCCCACCCATCATATCAAGTAATATGGACATTCTGTCACATCCTCAACTCCAATTAGGCTTCATATCCGTTTGGCTATATTTTGATTCTGACTTGGAAAAAATTTTTTCAATAGGCAGACGTGTACTTGATTTATTTCAGTAAAACGTCTACTCTGTGGCTTGTTTCTCTTCCACTGTAATGATATTTCTCCGAATAACACAGCAAGTGATTTAGTGGTTTTGTAAACCTGCACTACGTAATAATGCATGACTTGGGGTGCAATATGTGAGATTTTATCACTTGGCAAAATGAGAGAAATGAGACATCAAAATTTAAATGATTGGTTTTCAAATTAAATTTTCATGTGGTATGTTCTCACATTAATGCTGAAATGTTAAAAAAGGAGAAGACTCTTTGACACTGCTGAACTTGTAAAGTAATTTGAGTAGTATTTAAAAAATTTATTCCTGGGTATCATATAGCAAAAGGAGAAAAGGGCTTAAAAGGTTCAGAATTTCTTAACATTGTGCTGACACTAATAAAATGAAAGCAAAATATAATTATGCTCACAAGCACTGACTTAAATGTATACACCAACTTGGTGAGTTGATCCGTTTTGACCATTAAGTAATAATACAATTTAATGTCATAATATTTCCTAGGAATTAATCACTAGTTTATAGGAGTTGGATGCTTTGATTCATTAATTTCATCTAGTCGTTAGTTCCCAGGGAAAAAAAAATCTACAAGGAGAAAGAACCGTACTCTTAGGACCTGATTTTTTTTTTTAATGTGTGAGAAAAATTAAAATATAAAATACTAATTAGCTATATTAGTAATATATTAATTAAATATCAATCTATGATATACTTCTCACCTATGATTAATAACCAGACACACATTTTTATTTAGTGCTTTAGGTATTTAGTATTAAGTTCTATGGGTATTATGCTTTAACACTGTTTTCTACATGAGGGCATTTGGGAACTGGGGTTCATTAAAATCACTTGATTTAGAGACAACAGTCTTAAATAAATAAATAAATATATATATATAACATGCCATTTTTATTCCGTGGGATATAACCACAAGCCCACAAAATTGTTACCATCTTTATTCAGTAGGTGTTACCACAAAACCCTGCAAATGCATTATTATGATCCCACAGACTGGAAGGTTACCCTTATGGTTTTCACTTCCTTTGTTGGATAAAGCCAGTGTGATTGCTTTTTAATGAAAGTGATTCTCTAAGATTTGAACCGTAAGACTCTCCCAATTAAATACCTGCCATAGTCCAGAGTACTTTGCGTGATTCTAGTATGCCTGCTCGCCTGATCACACTCTAAAGGTATAATGGGACTTGACATTTCAAGCTGTAGTATCCAGCCCAGTAACTTCCAACAATTCTTCCTTTAAGCCATCAGACTATTGAGGAAAGTAATGCGTCCACCCTGGAGGCTATTTTCAGGTTCCTAAATGTACACAGATTTCAGCATTTTCTCTGACAATATGATGCATCCTTTCCTTAGCCCGATATACCCATTTCTACCTAAATGTACTCTAATACCTTTCCATCTCGTAAGTTAACTATTTAGATTCTGCTGATCTTTGGTGCACGTTTCACAGCCCCTAAAAAGATAATTCATTTGACATTTCATTAATCTTGCTAATAAATGAATAACAGCCCACAAACTGTCTTGTTTCCAATATATGTCATGTTCAATGGTGCCATAACTAATAAATTCTTAGAGTAAAAACTAGTCTTTAATTATTTTATAGTTCTAACCTTAAGCCAGTTTTAGTTTTTATTAGAGTGGCTTATTAGAGTGGTATTGCAGTGACTGGATTCAAATAGCAATATTTTTTATTCAGGTTTCCTGCTAAATGTATACAAACATTTAAAAAAATATTTCCAGTCTCTATGGAAAGCTATTTGAGTCCAACTTTTGCCTTTAATATGCACTGTCATGGGCTTTTTAGACAGGGTAAGATTAAATTTAGGTTGATGGTTTTCTGGGGAACATGAGAACTGTGGTCCTTTTAGTGCTGTGTTTGTGAGGATGTAATACGCTATCCTGCCTCAGCATTATCTTATTAGGGAGGGTTTATCATTAGAGACAATATTTATGGTAACATTTGCTAATTTAATTAATCGCTACTGATGCTCTCATAATTTCATTTTCATTGTACTTCTGTGGAATCATAAACAAAAGGTTAAGTGGCGCATCAGGTTAATTTACTGGCCTTTGATGTTTCCATCTGTGATCCTGCATTCAAACACAAAGCATAAATAAAATGGTTCTCATGTGGTTAGCGTCCAGAGGCATTCCTCTATCCTAGAGTGAACAGCATTTTCAGTTTAATTTTTTTGTGCTTCCCAAATCCACTTAATCCATAGAACATTACGCTGACATGGATCTCTGAGTTTCTGCTTTATGAAAACAAATTAGGTCAGCTCAGAGGGGGGAACTGCCTGCCAACTAAGAAGTGATCAGACAAGAGCAAAACTGAAAATCAAGGAAAAACTCTTTCTTTAATATTAATTAGAAAAGGATTTTTAAAGATTTCTCATTTGCAACGCCTGCAGACCAGACTTTACAAAACAGTTCTATTCTAGATATAGAATTCCTTAACAGTAATATTGCAATAACCATTTTGCAAAACAGTCCGTGCTGAACTCGAAAATATATCGTTTTCTACTATATTTGTTTTTCTGAATAACTTGTTGCTCACCTTTTGTAGAAGTATCAGCTTAATAATGCCAATGCAAAGCATTAGACATTTTAAGGTCAGCTGTTGTGCCTTTTTTTTTTTCTTCCCCCTCCATCCTCATAGAATGTACATGCTAGGATGATACAAAGAAGCATGCTACACTCCAAACAATGAAAAAGTTTTTAAAAAAACCAAAATGCACATAGAACACATATATGGAATGGTTTTCTTGGAATCTTGACCTGGGCCTCAGCATCAACATTTAAACTAATTTAAATGTACTGTTCCCTGGCTTTTCATGCAGTTGCAATTTCCAGATACTTAAAGAAGTGTGTTTTTATACACTGATAAAACTTGAATCTTATTCTATTTGAATTAATACCTCTGAAAACAATCTCTCCAGCCTGATAGTATCTGCCAGACCTAACCTTTGAGTCAGAAGACAGCCAATTTGTAAATAAACGGGTGCCTCATCCCTGCCTGCTGAGGGGCTGCTCACAAGTCCTTTTGTGAGGGTGACAGGACAGCTCTATTTTGGTACAATGCGTCATGGCCTTTTTAGCCATTTACCTATAACTACCCCACTGCTTGGTGAATAATTTTTATTTATCTTAATATTATTTTCGTGTATAAGAACTATAATAAACAACCCTGTCAGTGCCTCCTGGTGGCCATTTTTCCTCTTTTTGTTCTATGTGACCTTAGGGTCCCTTAAGCTACTTACTTCTGAATTCCTTTAGAAGTGAGGGGTGGTAGGTAGGGGGAGGGATAGGATATTTTGTCCTTCCTCTTATACGTTTAGGGTATTTGTCTTCCACTTTGGAAGAATTCTGACCCTGTGAATTAGGACTTTGGAATAAATTCTGCTTTTAATGTTGCTAATAGAAACCTGGGTTACAGCTAGAAAGGTCTGAATTCGAGGGAGAAGTGACCTGAAGCCGGAGAGCCCTTGTAAAATCACAACTGGCCACGGCAGGGTAGCGGGGGCCACTCCCTGGACCACCCAATAAGCAAAGGTGAAGCCCGGGCTTTCAACCCAGACTGCAGGCTGCAAGGTCTCCCCCAGCGGCTGCTGACTCAGCGCCTGCACAGGGTCCGATTACACTTTGAGGTGATTACAAATATTATTTTCCTCCCCCGATGAAGAGATGGGACACACTTTGGTTTTGCAATGACCGCGAATTTCTCAAGCAAACGGGGAAGTGGCCCCAGCGTAACACTGCAGACCAGTGGCCCTTGTGGCAGCGCCGGTCATCTCGGCTCAGGAGAGCAGGTCCTCTGGCCGAGGGCTGATCTGAGGCTATTTCACAGCCAAGGCCAAGGCCACTGCCGCCTGTGAGCAAAAGGCTGGGTTGGAAAGACCCTCACGCAGGCGCCCCGGGGCTCGCTGGCAGTGAGGCCCAGAGCCCCGGGGCTGGGCTCTTCCGCCCGGCCTCCCGACCACCTGCCCGTGCGCCCTCCGCCTCCAGCCAGTGGAGTTTGGGTTCTGTGTCTGCGAGCGTGCTTTACGGCACAAACCCAGAGTCTCAACTTTTCCTTTTGTTAGCAGCGCTCATTACATCTCCCCCTTCTTCAGCTGAAATCTAAAGCAGAGTTTTTGCATCTCGAATCTGACTATCTGTGTGTTTCCCGGGTCTGGGACGCCGCAGGGACCTTGCGACCGCCGGCCCCGTGGTTCTGCCTCGGCCTTGGACGCGCCCGGCTCGGACTCACTCCGCGCCCCTTCTTTCTCCCTTGGGCCCCGGTCTTTCTCCCCCGGGTTTGTCACCCTGGCACGCCCACTCCTGGCTCCCCCAGCCCTCCCATCCCCGCCAGGGCCTGACAGTGACCCCGCACGGCTGAGAACCCCGCAGCCGGGGGTCGCTCGCTGCTCCGGGACTCCCCGCGGTGCACAAACTGTCGCGGGGACCGAACCCCGGCTTCCACCCCTCGGGGGTCGCACGCACCAAGTGCAGGTCCCGGGCTCGGGAACCACAGTCTCCAGGCCGCCGGGCGCTCTTTGGCGTACGACCCCAGCCTTCCCGGGGTAGAACGGCGTTGCCCCTCGCTCTCGGCTCCCGGGAGCGGGGCTGCCGCGCCCTTCCTCCGCGGGCTCCCACCCCCGTGCCCGGGGTCTCCTCCCTCTCGCCTGCACCTTCCCGCGCTCCCTCCCCGCCCTCCCCGCCGCCTGCCCGCGCTCACCTGGTTGTTTTTGCAGAGATCGGCCCACATGCTGGTGCCATCCCCTCCGCGCATCAGGACGTGGTAGGTGAAGAAGTAGATGCCCGGGATGGAGCAGGTGAACTTGCCCGTGGTGGGATCGTAGTGGTTACCGAGGTTGGTGACCACGTCGTCGAACTTGAGCACCTCGTAGCCTTCGTGCTGCCGCTTGAGGCCGGCGTAGAAGGCGATCTTGGGCACCGTGCTGTAGGTGGCGGCGCTGATGGCCCCGGCCGCGTTCAGGCCGGGCGCCCCGGGAGGGCCCGGCAGGCCTTGGCGGCCGGGCTCGCCCTTCTCGCCCGGCGGGCCCGCGGGGCCCGGCGGCCCAGGCTCACCGGGGGGCCCCCGCGGGCCCGCCTTCCCGGGCCTGCCTGCCTCGCCTTTGGGGCCCTGGATGAAGGTGGGCAGGGACTGCATGAGGCCGCGGTCGGGCGTGGCGGCCGTGCTGGGCGCCTTGGTGCCCCCGTAAGGGTCGCAGACCATGCGGCAGGTGCCCAGCATCTCGTAGTGCGCCGACGTGCCGGCCGAGCTCACCAGCACCGGGATGAGAACGACCAGCAGAAGCACCATCACCACCCCCAGCGCCCCGGCGGCGATCAGGCGCCTCCTGCTGCCCACCAGCCGGCTCAGCGCGGGGCGATCCTCTTGTCTGCTTTTGGACAAAATTTTGAAGGTTGGGCGGGGACCTCCTCAGAGCCGAAAACAGCCCCCTGCGAACCCCGAGTCCCCTGGGCGGGCGCGCGCGCCGGCCGCTCCTCGCCTGCTCTCGCTCCCCCCCAGCCGAGGCTGCGGCTGGGGAGGGAGCTCGGACGCCCGGCGACTTGCGCGCAAGTCCCCGAGCAGGGGGTGGGGTGCGCGGGGCGCCCTCTCGCCGCCCGCGAGCCCCTTCGCACCTGTGGCTGCCGCCGGCGCCGGCGCGGCCCCCGGGAGGGCAGAGCCGCCGCAGCCCCTCGCGCTCGCCGGGGCCGCTAACACTTTTCCGCCGCCGCCCGCGATCGACTTTGCCGGTTTTGCCGACTGCGCCAGTTCGCACCAACTTTCCGTCTGAAGTTGCCTTTTTCTGCCTCCTCTTCTTTCGCTCGCTGGGATCGCCCTCCTCCTGCCTTTTTTGTTTTTGTTTTCTTCTTTTCCTCCTTGGCAACCACCAGAACTCTAATAGATGCGCATCCCCCAAACCCCGCGCCGGCCGCGCGAGCTCAGGCCAAGCGCCCCCCGGGGGCGCGGAGCGGCGGCGCTGGGCACCGGCGGCTCGGGGAGGCTCCGGGCTGGAGCGGAGGGGCTGGCGGGCAGCGGCGAGCGCCTCACCGCCGGGAGCGGAGCGAGAGAGAGACTGAACGCAGAATTCTGCCTGGGTACCACCTGCCAGGAGAAGAGGAGGCTGACAAACGCGCGCCGGAGCAATTTATAGGCACCCAAGGCGCAGAGGAAGGGGAGCCGCTTTGGCATCTCATTGCGGCATCTGCTCTTCTCATCCCACTCAAAGGGAGTTTGGCATTACTCTGACAATGTGGGATTTTTCCCCCCCTCGGCCTCTCTTCCCCCCGCCCAACCCTCTGCACATGGATGAACAGTGAGATTCTGAATACTCCCTTGCTGAGCCCAGCCGATGGCGGCGCTCTCGCTGGACAGATGGGGGTGGGGAGTGAGACAGACGTGCTGTAGCCTTCAGCACTCAAGAGTCACACCTAAGTCCCCTGTTTCCCCACTGCCTGCAGCCCCAGTTGGAGGGTGCAGTTGAAGGTTGAAAGGAGGATGGCTGGGTCGACAGTATTTCTCTAATGGCTCACCCACCATCAGCGTTTCAGGTGTTTTTTCAAAATGCCACTTTTAACATAAGGAGAGCCCTCTAGAATTTTCCAGATGGTAGATGTGATTTTTTTTTTTTAACCTTATGGTTTTCCTCACCAGCCTTCCAAAATGAAATAAGATGTTTCCCAGAGAACACTAAGGTGTGTTGATGAGACAAAGGCCGTTTCTCAATGATTTTAAATGAACGTGCCCACCGCATCAAAGCGGGGGAGGGTTGCTTCTTTTTACTAACGCTGCAGATGGTGGGTGTATACATACGAACTCTTATTTACAGACTTACAATTCTAGCAGCCTTTCAGGAGATTCAGCCACTGACCTAAGCTGCATTTACTTAAAGGTGCCACAGGCATGAGAAATAAGCACTTGTCAAGATGCCTTCAAAAGTCTTCAGATAAAGCAAGCAGCTTTCACCAAAGTACTGAGCAAGATCTTTTCCTAAGGTATAGAAAGAGTCCTGTAAGTTTCGGAGCATATCTCCTGCATGTGTCTTGGGGGAGGGGGAACAGAAGCAAAGTATGAGAGAGGAGAGCTCCCATTTGCCGTGGCAAACAGGAGAAGGAACAGCCTGGATTTATGATATTAACGGAAAGCCCCCGGAGTAGCTGTGAGGCAAGGTATCCCACCAACAAATATATAAGACACACAAGAAGGGCTTTAAATAAACAAGTAGAATTGATTCGTACATCATACTTTTGCATATTCAGGAGCAACGGATGTCAGTCAAATGTGGGTGACATTTGCCTGTCAATACGGGGATGATGGCTGGGAAGATGGTGACTTATTACACACCAGGGCGAGAATTGAAATGAGAAGCAGAAACAAATAAGACTACACAGTAAGCAAACAATAACATCCCCGGCGCCGATCAGGGGCCTGTGGTCTGGTCCGTGGGCTCCACAGCACGGACGGACGTCCCCTCCGCTCAGCCTTCGGCCTAGACCCCTTATCCCCATCCCACCAGTTCAGTTCTTTCTTTCCTCCTTCTCTGTTTCAGAACAAAATAAGGTCAAATGAGGAGGCAGAAGGAAACAAAGATTCATTGATTCTTCTAAGAGAAATGTCAGCAGCTCGTCAGGTCTTTCCTGGGAGAATCACCACTGAGGCGTTGGGCTGTGAGGCACAGCCCAGCCCTGGTCTCCCCCGTCTCCATTCTCCCTCGCTCTGGATGCTGACACAGGCCCTGCTCCTGCTACTGGGACGCAGTCCTCCTCACTTCTCAAACCTTTAACTTTTATTCGAGGGGGGTGCTTTTATAAACATGTGTCTTTACCTTGGGCATAATGACACGTATATTTCACACTATTTTTGTTCACACGAGCTGCATCATTTTCATGTGTTTAAGCAGCAAACACATAATAAGTTCTCTCCTGGCTACAACACCTGTTCTTCTAAAATCTCTTCTGGGTTGCTTCTCAAAGTCACCTTTCTTTAGGGGGGTACAAAATGGTAACACATGGTGTCAGCAGTGGAGGGTAATATATTAATGAAACAGGCTCTTCCCTGATACACCAAGTGATCAAACGTCATAAGACTTCTCTATTGCTAAGGAGAGTTGAGTGGGGATAAAAGGAAAGGTTTTTGAAAGGTAGAATTGTATAAATAATTTCTCATCAAAACCCTCAAGATTCATGGACGAAGCCTCAGCTCATAGAGGAACCCATCAAGGCTGAAATAGCTGAGTTAGAATGGACCCTGGAAAGCAAGTCTCTACCTGCTCGCTTGGCAGATGGTGAGACTGGGCCCCATAAGCCTCGAGTAGAATCAGGGTCATCCCGTGCGCTTGCTGGTACGCCGTCCTCTACACCACAGTGTCAGTATACCGCAGCCCAGCCCAGCCCAAGACCTGCGGTACTGTTCCTAGTAATTCAGGCTTTCCTCCTCCTCCTTTCTCTAATGCCAAAGCAGAGCTTGATTTTTCCAAGCGAGGGCTCTAACATCTCAAAGTTCTGCTGAGATTTGGACTTGGTGCTCAATCGTCATCCTTCACAGTGAGGACACCATCCCCCATGTCACATGGCTGACCCTAGTCTTTCCATCGAGTGTACACACCTCGACAGTGCATGGACATTTGGCTTTTTAGTGAAGGAAGTTTAAATGATCCGTCTCCTTCCTTTCCTCTAGAAATGTCCCACCAAGTATTTGTACTCTGGGAGAAACTTCCTTTGTTCCCTCAAGATTTTCAGGGATGCCTGGGTTGTAGATGAACTCATGGCTGGTTCCTGCCACTTTTCACTGCTTGAATTTCCCAGAAGGTTCTTTGGAAAGTTACTCACGCTTCAGCCCTTATTCTGACAGTTTGAATAAACCATCTGATATGGCATATTACTCATCATCGTTATATGTATATAATAATAGAAAACGTGTCAATTAAAAAAATATTTGGTTCTTTTCAGTCCTCGTCAGAGGACCAGGTTTTCTCTCACAGTCGATATTAGCTTTGGAAGCAGGCCCTGGATTCTAATTTTCACAGGACTTCCCAATCATTTCTCAAGAAAACACCAGGCTCCATCTTCCCATTCCTTCTGCCCCTGGGCCTTTGGGACCATTAAATAATAAAGTCAAATACAGAAACCCAGGGGTTTCCCTGGGTTTCCCGCAGTGGTTAAGAATCCGCCTGCCAACGCAGGGGACACAGGTTGGAGCCCTGGTCCGGGAAGATCCCACATGCCGCGGAGCAGCTAAGCCCGTGCGCCACAACTACTGAGCCTGCGCTCTAGAGCCCGCGAGACACAACTACTGAGCCCGCGTGCTGCAATTACCGAAGCCTGTGCGCCTACAGCCCGTGCTCCACAACAAGAGAAGCCACCGCAATGAGAAGCCTGCGCACCACAACGAAGAGTAGCCCCCGCTCACTGCAACTAGAGAAAGCCCGCGCGCAGCAACGAAGACCCAACACAGCCAAAAATAAATAAATAAAAATAAATAAATTTAATTTAAAAAAACAACAGAAACGCATGATCTGGGTTGGGTGATGCCCCTGTGATTTTCACCTTTCCCACATCATTTCTGTCTCTTTCGCAGAACTGAGCAGATCCTGAACACATGACTTCCACAAGGACGTGCGTGGCCACCCATTAATCTTTATTGAGCACCTACTGGCAGCCCTACACCGGGCTCTTCCAAGGCAAACAAATATTTAGTCATGAGAATGATTTCCAAATCCAGCAGCACTTCAACAGAAATAGTATTTCTTATAACAGGAAAAAAAATAATGAATTCACAGACCCAAGGGCTATCTAAAGAAATAGACATTAAGAATGTAAAAACAAAACAAAACAAAATGGGGGCCGGATGAGCTACTGATCTTTAATTTCTGGGTCTCAAAATTGTATTTGAGGACACACACTCGTTTGACTGAAGAATTGGAGGTTTCCAGCCATACAGGGTCTGCTTGGAGTTATGTAGGGAAGCTTTGGAATCAGAGGAGTCTTAACTTGAATCTTAGCTTCCTGATTTAGTAGCTGGGGAAGTTACCTGTAAACTTCCTGAGGCTTAATTTCCTTTTCTGTGAAATACCTAAATCAGGATTGTTGCGAGGACTGAGCTAATGCATATAATTACAATGATACTCAATGCCCAAGAAAAGCCCAGTAAATGTCAGCTTTCATCTTAATTACTGTAGGTCTACTGAGTAGTGTGTGTATGTCTATGAACTTGATGGTAGAACACAAGGCTCTCAAGGAAGTTAAAGCAAAGAGTCAGACTTCAAACAAATGACATCCAATGGGCAATAAGTATTACAGACTTAGACAAAACGAGAAAGCACACGGAAGTTCTCCAGGAGAGCAGCCATCTGTGTTATAAAACAAAGCAAGACACAACTCAAAATAAAGATCACTTTACCCTTCTCCAAAGGAAGAAAACGTTTCATAGCCAGGTCATTTGAATTCACGGCAGTCTGCTAGACCAAGGTTTTAGACTTAGAACCTAGTAGGGAAGCATTAGAACGTGCTTTTTGTCCTCTGGAAAGTTCTCCAAATCCCAAGTGGCAAGTGTATTTAAAAATCACTGAGGCAGTTATTCAGGACCTGAGCCTCTGGAGGATGACTCTCAACAAAGCAAACATACCCGAGAGGGCGGCTTTGTACAGGCAGCCAGAAGAGCGATCACACTGCTGGGGACCCAAGTCATAAACATACTCAGGAGAGAATTCTCAACACAAAACTCTCCACTGAAGATGGTGAGCTGAACAGCTAGCTTGGCAGATCTACTGTCAGAAAATGGGAGGTAACCAGCACATGACGTAAGACTCCGTTACAATATATGGCTTCAACTTGGTCTCCAATTCTTGCTATATCATTCCATAGAAGGATGAGATATCTAGCATGGGTATGATATTTTCGACTTACCATGGATCAAATATTATGGTCCCTATGACTCTACTTAATGTAGAATTGAAATGTTACAAAGAATGAGATCTAAGAGATCAGCAAGTCCTCCTAAGCTATGCTCAGGACAACTCAGTCATACAAGGTAGATGAATGAACTCAAGAAACTAATAGCACTTATTTACAAAACAGAAACAGACTTACAGATACTGAAAACAAACTTACGGTTACCAAAGGGGAAGCGTGGAGGGGGGAAGAGATAAATTAGGAGCTTGGGATAAACATTCACACACTATTATATATAAGATAGATAACCAAAAAGGACCCACTGTAGAGCAC